AAGACTAATTTTAGATTTAAAAAAATCAATGTCACTAACCACGCCAGCAAATAATATTGAGTTGGATGCCACATCACTTGTCACATTAGCATGATAATCGGTTAATTCTTCAACCAGTTACCCAAATATTTTAAATGTTTAAAACTTTACACCTTAGGTAACAAAGGGAAAGTTTTGAAAGTACGTTACCCAAAATAGGAATCAAATTAAAGTACGATATTTTTTCCATGCAATTTGCCCTTTGTAAAATATTAGAGTATATTCATGCAAACATGGAGCAAGAACACTCTATGAAAAGATGGTGGTTCAGTTCGATGTTATTTAAGACGGAGTTCGAACACAGTCTCCAATAATTATGTTATTTTAGAAATCTTAAAGATCTGAGAAAAGTTTGCTTCAACAGCTGCGCTTAACTCTCCTTCAAAATAGAACAAAACAAGAGAGAGAAAAAAACCTCTCGAAATCTAGAATACGAGCAAGTGGAAAGAGAGTTTACGTCCTTTTGCTAAACGACAAACTTCACAACTCACCTGATCATCATCGTCGAAATTTGAGAAGATAAGAAAAAAATTTGACTTCTCCACGTCCCTACGTCTTCATAGGATCGTTATATTTGCTAAAAATTAATTTATGTTTTTTAAAGCTATATATAAACACACAAAAAGAGCAATTATACCATGCAACGTACGTTTTTTTATACCACTTGCATACACGAGAGAAATGGGTAGGACCAAAAAGTTTGAAATTAAGAAAAAACAGATGATAGATGAAGCAGTTTTCACATAACAAGTTAAACTGATTGTCATTATTGTTATTAAAAAATTATTTCGTCAATTAACTCATTTTCTTGAACTCGATAAATTAATACGTTGTTGTTGTCGTGGCGTTCTAATTATTATATATATTATTCTGTTATATATATATATATATATATATATATATATAAAGTTGATTCCAAATTTCATAAAATATGGAACATGCATGTGTTATATAAACAATAAGTGTCCCTTCTGTCTTGAATTATGCCCTTGTTTCATTCTAAATCCCCATGTGAATGTCCTAAGTGTAAGTGGTTGTCCTCAACCTCATAAATCATAATAAATACTCCAATTAATTAAGTATTTCACTTCAACATTATTTACTTTGTAGTACCCACCAACTTTATATATATATATATATATATATATATATATATACATGTATATCAAAAATGACAACATGTGGTTTTCATATAATTTGATACCATTATTACTTATATTCTCTTAGTTAATTCATACATTATTGTATTAGATTCTAAATATATGTACATTGTCTAGAGGTGTTTATGGACACTACGGTTAGGGACGGATTCAGATTTTTTTTTTTAAATTGTAGCACTTTTGATTAATAAGAAAAAAAAACGAGTGACATAGTTTGACTATAAGAAACAAATGTACAATTTTTTTTTCAAACAGTGACACCATTTGACTAAGATAACGACACTAACGGGAGGCGAATTTGGGTCTGAGGTGGAATAAAAGTCTTGCAAACCAACTTTACCAAATAAAAATTGTTTTTATTGTAGTTTTAAAATACATATTGTGGCACACAGCAAATTAATACGGTTGTACCTTTTATGAACCTAATTTTTTTTACCCTTCGACGGATAAATAATATGCAGGATCCTTCTTGACTGTCCAGTAAGGACCCTCACCGATCATGTACTATCTGGATTAACCTCACCGCTTATATTATTGTTTGAGAGAAATGACAGTGTAACCGCGATAAATGGATGTTAATTTATCATTAAGAATCAGGTTTGAATTGTATTAGATTTATCATAGCAAATTATATTGCATGAAGGAGATTCACACATTAGACCTTTGGTCTAATCCTCAACTGTTGTAATGATTTATTTTGCAGGTCATCCAACATCACATGATAAAGGCAAAGGGAATATGTAAATGAATTATGGAAGAAAGTCTTATTATGACAAAAACCCATATTGTTGGTTTGTCATGTGTAAATAAACTTGAAATGTTTGTAATTTTTTATACTTGATGTACGTGGAAGTATGTGTTATATTTGTTAGTAATGTTTAGTACATGGTGGGTTGTTTCGGTTTGGATGGAGGAAAATTGTTTATACCGGTGTCAAACCAGTAATAAGGAGTTTTTGATGTGTTAGTTCATTCTAACTTATCATATTCAACTTATTAGTTGTGAAAACCAATTAACCTTTTAAACCATAAACCTAAATTACCTTCTCATCAGATACGTACGCCATACATAAATCAACATAAATCGATTGAAACCTTCACCTACATAAATCGAAATCGAACCTTTGATCGAAACCTTCACCTACAGAAAATCGATCGAAACCTCCACCTGCATAAATCGAAATCGAATCTTCACCTGAACATATCGAATTCGACCAGTTCATCAAAATAAATTGGATCTACCTCACATACATAAATCGAAATCGAACACATTTCCTCCTTCCCCACGAAGTGACATTCAGCCAGTTCCTAAAGAAATCGAAATCGACAATTCTTCCTCATGTAAGCAACATTCGAACACAATTCTTCATTTCTCATGTCATTTTTGGTCATTTTACATGTATAAACAAAATTTGTCAAACCTATCGCCTTATTACATTTGGATATCGTCTTAACCAATTCAAATACTTTTCATAAAACTTCGATTTAACAACATATTAGTTGATAAACATTCTTACAGTTTTAAATGAGCAATCCTCTTGAATAATGATAACAGTGACTCATGTATATATATACTATATTATAAAACATTTGACAAAAACTCTTGAAAATAATTTTTTATACATGAAGTACTGTTTATTGATGTTTATTACTTACAATTCAATATTACAAATAAATTGTGTGTAGTACAACTTATCTTTATTTTCGAATTCGTATAACTAATTGCAGATAAACATAATTAAATACAAGATAAACATCTCATTTTAAATATAAATGATTAAAATATAATTAGAATAATCATTGAGTTTTAACATAATACTTATTTATCATCCTTACAAAATTATATTATTAAACAAAAATAAAATACGTTGTTATTATATTTAAATTAAATTATAATAAAAAAATAAATTAACGAAATTACACAAAAAACGAGAACCTTTAAATAGTTAATTTAATACTAATACCGATACATATTTTTCAAATTTATATTTCGTTCAAAAATAAAATATTATCGTTTTCTAAAACCGCATAAAACTATATTATATCAATAAAATAAATAAATAAAATAAAATATTAAAATTAAAATATATTTCACTACGAATATCTTTTTAATATTATTTTAAAAAATATTCAATATTTAATTAACCAAAACTTATTTCTTAATCAGTTAAATTTAAAATAAATATACGTTTTTTTTAACATATCCCTGGGTCAAACGTTGTGTAAGACCAAGCCTAGTAGTCTATGCTACAAGTATTTATAGTTTTTAAAAATTAAAATTAATTATATATTAATAATAAATCTCTAAATTCGGGTTGATATGTAATTAATTTTAAATGCCATTTTCCGTATTTTAAAGGGCTTTTTTGAAATTTACACTTTTCTCACCCATCCTTCTCTCTCTGGCGTATCAGCTGACGTCAGCTTCTAGAACTTCTGCTTGACCTTCGTAACTGAGTGACATCTTCGATCCAACGCTCCGTAGACCATAAATGCTGTCAAGGGCATTTACGTGATTTTGACATTAAAAGTGATTTTTATTCGATTTAAAGTAAAAATAATACGTTGTCAATGAATTTCTATAATTACTACGTTCCCCATATTTACTGACGTCATATTTATTTTCCAAAATTACACATTTATCCCATTTTCTAGTGGTGTGTATATAATCACTTTTTATATACCTCGGACTAAAGGTTTGTATGTCAATTACTGAATGATTTGATGCAGAATTATTAAATGATCATAATAATTAATAGACTCTTTTGATATAGTACAAAATGAAATATAATTTTTTGATAATTATTTACAACGAAATCAGAGTGCTGAATGATTAAGGGAGATCTAAATACAAAGTCATTCAGTGTTTTTTAGAACCATTAAGAGAATTTTTTTTTCTTCTAAACATGATCCACCTCTTAACGATTCAGATGCTGATTCTTAATGGAACTATTATGGGTTGTTTGTTTACCTCTTAATAGTTCTATTAAGAGGCAACATCTGAATCGTTAATAGGTGAATCTTGTTTGACAAAAAAAAAGCATGTTTCTTAATGGTTCTAAAACCCTCTGAATGATTTTATATCATGGATCTTTCTTAACCATTCAACACCCTGATTTCGTTGTAAATAATTACCAAACAATTATATTTCATTTTGCATTATATAATAAGAGCCTCTTAATCATTCTGATCACTTAATCGTTTTGCACCAAACCATTAATAACTACTAAACAAGAAGGCCGTGTTTGAAGAAAGGTCTCGATTTTTTTATATATATGTTTTAAACCCAATCAAAATGACTTTAAGATTTTATTTTGGTAGTTAATTTGACTCGACTCGACTTAACTCGTTAAGTTAATCGAACATAATTTTGTATTCGAAATCAACTCGAAATTAATAATTATTAAAATCAAGCTTAATAGCTTGTTAAAAAGCTGAACTTGAAAACAGTCAAAGATTTAACTCAGGTCCAAACCGGCGGCCAAAATTTGATCGGTTGGGTAAGCCGGAGGACGAGTAAGGTGGCCGGAAATAAAAGAGTCAACGGTCATGTTTTTGAGCACATCAAGTTTGACGCATAAAGAAACTAGCTGTCAAATCATATGGTAATTTTAAAAACAAACAATTAGTGGTTACGCATTACACTACTTGTACTCTCCGCCTTCCAATTTGTACATTCAAACCCCAAAATCAAGAACACTATTTTACAAAAAAACCGGACCCACTTTTCGAAATTATTTCTGAAGCTTCCTCTTCAAAGCAGATTATATAAATTCCCACCTCCCTGAGATCTATATTTAAGCAAAGGTGAAACCTTTGAAGATCGATAGATTGAAGTTTCCAAAAATGGAGGAAGAGGGTAAGCTTAGTATGAGCCGGAGTGTGGGGAGAAGCATCGGAAGAAGTTTCAGTAGGGCCGCCGGAAGTTGGAGAATGGAAGATGTGTTTTCCGCCGGTGGTGGTGCCAGTCACGACGGCCGGAGTAGTCGTCACTCCATGGAAGACGAAGAAGCTCTACGATGGGCTGCTTTGGAGAAACTACCAACTTATAATCGATTACGAACCACCATCTTCAAATCTTATATTCCGGCCGATCAACAAGAAATGGCGAACGATAAGATGTTGTTGGATGTTCGAGAACTCGATCCACATGCTCGACAAAGTTTTATCGACAAGATTTTTAAAGTTGCTGAAGAAGATAATGAAAGATTCTTGAGAAAATTCAGAGATCGAGTTGACAAGTAAGTCAACGTTATTTTTTTTTCTTTATCGTCTTGAAATCGGTCAAATTTAGCTGTAAATATCTTCCGGCGACTTAATTTCATTCAAAAAGTTTAAAATTGGTATGATGGGATATCGGAGAAAAGCTCCGGTAACACTAGAATTTAGCTCCGGTGACAACCACAATGGTTGCGGCCGGTATCCCATCTGTCCGAGGTTTGATTCCAGACATATACAAAAGTCGTGGGTCCTGGTCATAACTTGCTGGGGTTACTGCAAAAAGAAAAGGGTCCGGTGACATGTTCTTTAATCATCGGTTTATTTTTCAGGGTTGGAATCTCGCTTCCGACGGTGGAAGTCCGGTTTAAAAATTTGTCGATTGAAGCCGATTGTCACGTCGGAGATAGAGCACTTCCGACGTTGATAAATTCGGCCAGAAACATCGCCGAATCCCTTTTAGCTGCCGCCGGAATAAGTTTTTCCGAGAAAGCGAAACTTCGGATTCTTAAAGATGCTTCCGGAGTCATCAAACCATCAAGGTATATACATATTTATGAATCATATTGATTTGTTTGTACACATCTTGTTCAATCGAGTCACCTGAGGGCCGCCGTGATTCATTCCGGCGTGTCTTCAGGGTCCCACAAAATTATTCGTTATTCAAGTTTATGAAAAATCTGGTCCAACGTTAAAACACACAAATTGCAAAGGGGTCGTATGATACGGATTTGTTGACGGTGTCGGTGTCTTGTTTTTTGTGGTCAACTATGTGTTCGAAGAGGACCACAGTTTTTCTATCGAAGTTGACAGAAATGGTCAGATCTTAGCGACCCATCAGTAAACCCGATTTGTTGGTTTTGGTCATATTGTTGTTTCATAAAGTTATGACCGTTAAAATGACGGTGGGTTTGTAACGTTACAGGATGGCACTTCTGTTGGGGCCGCCGTCTTCCGGTAAGACGACACTTCTGTTGGCTTTGGCGGGAAGGCTAGATCCCAGCTTAAAGGTTGAAGGAGAGATAACTTACAACGGTCATAACCTCAACGAATTTGAACCTCGGAGGACCTCAGCCTACATTAGCCAGAACGATATTCATGTCGGAGAATTAACCGTCAAGGAAACCCTAGATTTCTCCGCAAGATGCCAAGGCGTTGGATCTCGATTAGGTAACACATTCACTTTGCCGGTATAGGACGTCTGTATCACAATAAGTTCATAAGACGTTTTTGGGCGTCCTAACAAATTTTTTGGACAAAGTTGAATTATAACGGCTTATTAGTCTTTTTTATATGACATTATTTAAGGAAAAAAATATTTTATAAATATGTGAGCTACTATTGTAACGTCTTTATATAGAACCTAACATTCCCTTGTAACACTGTTACATCGAGAGCACAATTATTTGGTTCTATAAACTAAGTCTTATAAAACAATCTGTTAGGCTGTTTGGTGGATAAAAATGCTCATGTGGATTAATATGTCAGTATAAATTGGGAAGAGTTTTGTTTGGGAGAGTTTTTTCATAGATGCAAGGACCGTGTTTTTTTATTGGGAGGGGATGTTTGGAAAAAAAACTTGACTTGCTACATAAAGTTTTCCCTTGTAAGCTTATTGAATAAGCCACTTTATATATCATTTAGCTATTTACAAATAGTCATGTATAGCTAATCGGTTAAGCTGTGTGTCCCAATAAACTCATTAAGTGGCTAACAAACATGCCGTTAGACGTCTTTGTAGTGTTTGGTGTAATCTTGAAAACTAATGTACCGAAATACAGAAATGCTAACGGAGCTTGCACGAAGAGAAAAGGAAGCCGGGATCTTCCCAGAAGCCGAAGTCGATCTTTTCATGAAGGCAACTGCCATCGAAGGAGATCAGAGCAGTTTGATTACTTACTACACTCTAAGAGTAAGTATTTCTATTAATAAACTGTCATAATCTTTAACCGTTCTTTCCAAATCAATCTATTCATATGTTTGTTAATCCAAAAAAAAACAGATTTTGGGACTTGATATCTGCCGGGATACCTTTGTTGGCGATCAAATGAGACGTGGAATCTCTGGCGGACAAAAGAAGCGTGTGACCACCGGAGAAATGCTTGTTGGACCTGCGAAAACTCTGTTTATGGACGAGATTTCAACCGGTCTAGACAGTTCGACTACATTTCAGATAGTGAAATGCTTGCAGCAAGTTGTACACTTGACTGAATCAACAATCTTCATGTCCTTACTACAGCCAGCTCCAGAAACGTTCGATCTTTTCGATGACATCATTCTACTATCCGAGGGCCAGATCGTGTATCAAGGACCACGAGACCACGTTGTTGAGTTCTTCGAAAGTTGTGGATTCAAGTGTCCGGAGAGAAAGGGTACTGCTGACTTCTTGCAAGAGGTACACAAATATTATTTCTATTTGGTTGGTTTTTCATCAAGTCCTATGGATAAAGTTGTTTGTTTGGATTAATGTGTCTGTATAAATTGAAAAGATTTTTCATAGATGGAATGAGCGTGTTTTTTAATTGGGAGGGGCAAGTTCTATAAAAACTTGGCTTTCTACATAAAGCTCCCCTCAGAAGCCTACCGAATAAGTCATTTTCTATATCATTAAGCCATTACCAAATAGTCATCTATAGCTGACTGAATAAGCTATGAGTTCCAGTAAGCACATTAAGCTGCTAACAAGCAGGCCCTTATTACAAATTGATGAATTCCAACTTCAAATTGTATAATTTGTCAACAATCTTGATGTTATATATAGGTTACATCGAAAAAGGATCAAGAACAATATTGGGCAGATAGAAGCAGGCCATACAGATATATCCCAGTGAGCGAATTCTCTCAACGATTCAAACGGTTCCACGTGGGAGAAAAGATGGCGAGCGAGTTGGCAGTCCCGTATGACAAGAACCAAAGCCACAAAGCCGCTCTAGTTTTCAAGAAATACTTAGTCCCGAAAATGGAGCTCCTTAAGGCTTCATGGGATAAAGAATGGCTTTTGATGAAAAGAAATGCTTTCATTTACGTCTTCAAGTCTATACAAATCGTGTTTATAGGATTTATCGCCACGACTTTGTATTTGAGGACCGAGATGAAACACAAGAATGAAGTAGACGGTGCGATCTATGTAGGGGCGCTTTTGAACAGTCTGCTCATTAACATGTTTAACGGGCTTGCTGATCTTTCACTCATCGTTATGAGGCTTCCTGTTGTTTATAAGCAACGGGATCTCATGTTCCATCCTGCATGGGCTTTCACACTTCCAGCATTCTTGCTACGAATTCCCATATCTATACTCGAGAGTATAATGTGGTGTGGCATCCTTTACTATGGTGTTGATCTCGCCCCCGATGCCACCAGGTAACTAAATATTGGTTTACGTTAAACAGAAGTTTGTTTGAATGCTTATAAGGATAAATACTAAAAGATTATATCCGAATATGGTTAATTTACAGGTTCTTCAAGCATCTCCTGTTGGTTTTTCTGATCCAGAATGTGGCAGCAGGACTGTTTAGACTCATTGCTGGTGTTTGTAAGACGATGAACATTGCAAACACGGGTGGATCCGTCATACTTCTGCTTATATTTCTTTTGGGTGGTTTCATCCTTCCTAAAACCCGAATTCCAAACTGGTGGGAATGGGCTTATTGGATTTCGCCGCTGTCGTATGGATTCAAAGCATTCACAGTAAACGAGTTTCTTGACGATAGGTGGACGAGCATAAGGGTAAGTCGCGCTAATTCTTGATTCAAATGCTCAATAACTGTTATGAGAAAAGAAGAAAACTAAGGGGCAGTTTGGTTGGTTTTCCATCAAGTCCTGTAAGAATAAAAGTCTTAGTGAATTAATCTGTCTATACATATTAGGAAGGTTTTTGTTTGGGAGGGTTTTTCATAGATTGAATGAGCATGTTCTTTAATTGGGAAGGACAGGTTTGGAAAAAACTTGTCTTTCTACATAAAGCTCCACCTAGAAGCTTACTGAATAAGCCACTTTCTATATCATTAAGCCATTACCAAACAGACCAAATAAGCTGCGAGGCCTATTAAGCTGCTAACATATATTTCGCTTTTTTAACAGAGTACGGACGGTACAACCAACGTCGGTTACGCAGTGCTAAGAAATCTCGATGTCCCGACCGAAGAAAGCACATACTGGATCGGTGCTGCAGCTCTTGTCGGTTTTATTCTTCTCTTCAATGTTCTCTTCACGATCGCTCTAATGTATTTAGAAGGTGAGTTTCGATGGAAAGTTGCCGTTTTTCGTGTCAATCTTGTTTTCGATACCCAACTTTCTTGATTCTTGACTAACTTTCTTGATTCTTGACTAATTAACTAGCCCCTGGAAAACCACAAGCAATTATCTCCAAGGAAGAAGCTGCAGCCATGGAAGGTGATCAGGGTACCAACCAACAACAAAGTGTTCAATCCTCAGAAAGTATGTAATTAAAATGGTTTCCTAATTTAGCAAGTTTTATGCACAAATTATCAGTTTTTTTCTAACTAAAGATTTGAACTGTTGTATAGAGGAAATGCACCAGATAAGCAAGGATGGAAATGGTGTTTCTAAAAAAGGAATGGTTCTTCCGTTTACTCCACTCGCAATGTCATTCGACAACATGAACTATTATGTCGATATGCCTAGTGTAAGTTCCGTTCTATAGCATAGATTCTAACACAAGTGTCGGTTGTAGGATTCTAGGAACTTAACGATTATTTTCCGCCTGTTGATTGAACAGGAAATGAGAGAACAAGGGGTGACGGAAAACCGATTGCAATTGCTTCGTGATGTAACGGGTGCTTTCAGGCCAGGAGTTCTAACGGCATTGATGGGAGTCAGTGGAGCTGGTAAAACGACGTTGATGGATGTTTTAGCCGGAAGAAAGACAGGCGGTTATATCGAAGGAGATATCAGAATATCGGGATTCCCAAAGAAACAAGAAACGTTTGCCCGAATCTCTGGATATTGTGAACAAACCGATATCCATTCTCCCACGATCACCATTCACGAATCTCTGATCTACTCGGCGTTCCTCCGGCTTCCAAAAGAAGTCAGCAAGGAAGAGAAAATGGTAAGAAATCGAAGATCCAATCTATATTGTTAACAAGATATTAACCAAAAAGCATCAAATCTTGATTCATTTATGTTCATTACTATCTTTCAGACTTTTGTGCAAGAAGTGATGGAGCTTATTGAACTAGACAACATCAAGAACGCAATCGTTGGACTTCCGGGAGTTAGTGGTTTATCAACCGAACAGAGAAAGAGGCTAACAATTGCAGTCGAGCTCGTTGCTAACCCTTCGATCATCTTCATGGATGAACCAACGTCAGGGCTTGATGCAAGAGCTGCAGCCATTGTTATGAGGGCCGTTAGAAACACCGTGGACACAGGAAGAACCGTTGTTTGCACCATTCATCAGCCCAGTATCGATATCTTCGAATCATTCGATGAGGTAAAGACGTAAAGTCCAAAGATTTTTCGCTTGTTTGTCTCTGTCCCTCCATCCCTTTTCGGTTTCTAACATTTCTCATCATATATGCATCAGTTGCTGTTATTGAAAAGAGGAGGACAAGTGATCTATGGAGGACCATTAGGAAGACACTCTTCAAAGATTATCGAGTATTTCGAGGTAGTTGACATACATATTCGTGTTATATAAACTAGAATCGTTAACATTTTACTAAAAAACGAGCGATTTCTCAGGAGGTTGCTGGGGTTCCGAAGATTCCGGAGAGGTACAATCCAGCAACATGGATGTTGGAAGTCAGTTCCGGTGCTGCAGAGATCAGGCTCGGGATTGATTTCGCCGAACACTACAGCGCATCCGCTTTGCACCAGTAAGTCTTTATATTCCAGTGATTTGTAAAGTATTAAATCATATGAAATCATCAACAGATTGTAATAAAGTTTGTATGCAATGATATATAGGAGGAACAAGGCTTTGGTGAAGGAGTTAAGCGTACCGCCTCCGGGAGCTGTAGATCTTCGCTTCGAAACACAATATGCGCAGTCGATGTGGGGTCAATTCACGTCGTGTTTATGGAAAATGTGGTGGAGTTACTGGCGTAATCCCGACTATAATCTTGTCCGATTCTTCTTCACTTTGCTTTGTGCACTCATGGTTGGAACCGTATTTTGGAAGATCGGCAACAAAAAGTGAGTCTCTTATCGAATACCACAACAAAATCGGCTGTATGGAAAGCCAAATATCTCTAAATGTCCTAATAGACGTAAAAAGACTGATAGAACGTTCTATTTCAAAGTTGGTACATTTCCTGATTCTTGATTTACTCATTTCAGGTCGAGCAGCAATGATCTGAGCACAACGATCGGAGCCATGTACGCAGCTGTATTTTTCGTCGGTATTAACAATTCGCAAACCGTTCAGCCAGTGGTCGCAACAGAAAGAACCGTCTTCTATCGTGAGCGAGCCGCTGGAATGTACTCATCATTACCATATGCCATGGCACAGGTGAGAATTCGAACAAATAGATGTATACTCTTTGAATGATTACGATTCTTGAAAATGGGTTTCTAACGAATAATCGGGATTGATTCAGGTGTTCGTAGAGATACCATACGTATTTCTTCAAACGACATATTACACTCTTATCGTCTACTCCATGGTATCATTCGAATGGACCGTACCCAAATTCTTCTGGCTCTTCTTCATCAACTTCTTTTCATTCCTCTACTTCACGTACTACGGAATGATGACCGTTTCCATCACACCAAACGAGCAAATCGCAGCCATTTTCGCAGCTGGGTTCTACTTGCTCTTCAATATCTTCTCCGGGTTTTACATCCCGAGACCCGTAAGTATCTAATCTTTCCTTCAAATTAATCAAGAATCGTATCGTATTCTATAATCCCGAGCTGACGAATTCTTGAAAATTTCAGAAAATTCCCGGATGGTGGGTGTGGTACTACTGGATCTGCCCCATGGCGTGGACCGTGTACGGGTGCATCGTTTCGCAGTATCATGATGCCGATAACCCGATATTCGTGCCGGGGATGGCGACGGACCCACCGATGACGTGGTACATCAAGGACTACTATGGTTTTGAGTTGGATTTCATGGGACCCGTTGCGGCCGTTCTAATCGGGTTCTGCGTATTCTTCGCTTTCCTCTATGCCACATTCCTGAGGACTTTGAACTTCCAAATGAGATAGAATGAAATCAAACTGTGTAATGTCTATAGATTTTTTGAAGTTGGTTGAAACTCAAAACTTTGTTCCTATTTATTTTTGAAATTTCCGGTGTTTTGTTTGTATTGTAAACTTATACGCTTCAAATTCAGTTCCTACATTTCATTGTTTCTTCTTCTAATACAATTATCTCCGTTTTCCGAGGCTTTCGGATTCGAAAAGACACGGGTCGATCGGTTCATGGAATCCGAAGGAATTTGACCACCGTCGTTCTCACCATCCCCTGTTGCTGACGTTGCCGCTGCCATATTAAATTTTGAAATTTCATGGGATATTTGGTATTTCATGGAATTTATTTGTAATAATGTTTTAAAATATGTTAAAAACATTTGTTTTAAGATGATCGGACCAGAAACAAAACATAAAAACATCCCAATCATAGGAAAGTTGCATTTGGATAGAAACATGTGTTGGGGCCATACCTCATAACATAGGACCACATAAATAGCGATGTGAAGACGAGACACAATCCTGACCCATAAAAAGAGGATAAAGTGACTCGGCAACCTGTGGACGCGACTCCGAACCCGTGGTTAAGTCGGATGACACGTCTCGATGATAGAAGTCACGGGCCCAACAGGTCGTATGTATTTCATTTAATAAATACGCGTTGAATGATCAGTTTATATCGATAACTATAAGTTACAAAGGGATGTCGTGGTATTTTACGAGCAATACATAAAACTCTTTTTCTACCATTTTTTAATGTAGCATACATTTTAACATAAATGTTTAAGAAAAAAGAACTCTAGAATCTTTATTTCTACCGTTTGTTGTTGTAAGTAACACGCTGATAAACGTTGTTGCTTCATCGTGGCTAGGAGTGCTCAAAAACCCAACCAGCCCGATCAACCTAACTCAACCCAATCCAACGCGAAATAACTCAACTCGAAGCAAACCCGATGTCTAATCGAGTTGTAAATTTTTTAAACCGTAGGTATTGAGTTGATATTGAGTAATTATTATTTGAATTCAACACAACTCAATGGACCCGATATCCTTTTATTTTGGATTTAATATGATTGTTGAGTTTATATTTATATATACATTAGACAATTACACTATCACGTACGCTCTTCGTATATACATATTTTCAATCTATTCTCCAACTTTATATAACTCATTCGTATATATGATTAGTAACTGTGAATATATATATAAATTGAGAAAATTAATTGAATGCAATATATGTAAGAAATATGAATAATTTGTATCAAATGTTTGATGATGAAAAAAAAAATTATGAGGAGAGAAATAAAATATTCAAGGTTAGAAGAATATATTAATGTACTAAAGTATCAACTCGACCAACTCGACTAACCCGATCAACCCGTACGGTTTGGATTGGGTTGAGTTGCATTTTGGTTTGAGTTGGGTTCGATTAAAATTTTTCAAACCGCAAATATTGAGTTCGATTAAGATTTTTCAAATCGCAAACATTAGATTGAGTATTTCAAATGTTTTCGATTCGATCAACCCAACCCATAAAAACATTGATCGTGACTCCTTAATGCTTGACTTTAACCTCAATGCCTCTTCAATTTCTACCAAACAAAAATAATATATCGCATCATCTCTATAATATACATATTTTTTTGTTATCTTATTTAATAATACAATAATATCTCCAAAAATGAAAGAGTTTTACTTTTGGTCCTTAAAGTTTAGTATTTTTTTTGAAAATAGGACCTAAACTTTAATAAGTCAATATCATCCCTCAAATTTGGATTTTACTTTAAAAATGGATCTGATCACTAACATTGTTAAAATCGTCCGTTAGAGCCAGGGATATTTTCGTCCAATCATGTTTCCCCTCTCTTTTTGTAATTCTTTTGTTTTCTTGTTTTTACAAAAAACATCAAACTTTAAGGACCAATTTTACACCCTTTTCCGGCCATGTTCTTTGGCCAAATCGCCTCCATCATCGAAGAAATACGCAGAAACAATAGTGATTCGGTGGGATTTTTTTTTTGTTAAAACATATGTAAGAATAATCTTTCAAGAAACTTTCCATCTTTCATGTCTCGCCATGCCCAAAAATTGAGATTTCAGGGTGCAGTGCTGCAACAATGGCTTTTTACCATTTTGATTTCTAGTTCTTAATAGCGGGTTTTGTACCCATCATTCCCATGTCATCAAAAATCAAGAACCACTTCAGTTTTGGCCTCAAAATACGTATATCAAGAAACTCTAAACTTTATGCTATCCTTATGATGTATTTAAGGCCAAAACAGATTAAAAAATGAGGTATAGATACAACATATCCACAAATTGAATTCCATATATGTGTTCATCAAGATCCAACTGCTGCAGTTGTGGTGAGACCAAATCAATCATGGGGGACGATGACGTCAGGAAGATTAAGCAGGGAGGAAGATGGTGAGCATTCGAGATCTATAAACGCCAAGTCTGCATCTTTTTTAAAGGGGTCGTCCCTCGTCCCCGTGAAATCACAAATTTGAGGGACTTAATCTTAACTTATTAAAGTTTAGGTTCCAATTTTAACAAAATCACTTAACCTCAAGGACCAAAAGTACTCAAATTCAAACCCTCCTTCTTCTTCTTCTTCATATTTCACATTTTCATTTCCTCCCACCAACCAGAAATTGCTTCATTCCCACATCACATCACGTGGCTGCTTCTACAACGCTCTCAATATTTCCCTTTTTCTGTTAAATCAAATCCAAATATGCGAAGAATTATATAAATCTACAGACACCACACCAATCACTCGTCACTCAAACCAAAAGGGATACATTTCAAATCCCTCGTTCGTCATCATGTCTTCGAGAGGGAGCTCATTTCTGGTATTTCAATTCCATTCATTCAAAATTTTATGTTTTCTGATCGTATTTCTACATTTCGATTCTGGGTTTCGTTTTGTTCATCGTTTGAATGGAAAATCAGCGATTTTTCAGTGTTGGAATCTGATCATCAAGGTAAGGTAAATGATGTTTTGCAATCTTTTAATTGCTGTTGTAGCAGAATAACTCCCTTTCTGGGGTTTCAAGAATGACGAAATCACAGTCGTTGAGAGTGTCGATTCATCCTCCGATGGTGGTAGCAATGATGAACCCTAATACCCGCCCCGATAGAAACGTCGCCGTTTCTGTGGAGAGTGCTGTGAAGGAGGTGAATGCTCCGATGGCGGTTGAAATCGTCGAGTGTAAATCGAAGCAAAACGCCACCGTTGTTGATGACGTGTACAGCGAAGATACAGCCACCGAGGATACTCCTTGGGCTGTTTCTGTTGCCAGGTGACCACAGATTCCGATCCCTCGATAACTCCTAAGCTTGTTGTGTGTGTGTGTGTATATATATATATATATATGGTCACAGAAACCGAAAAAAATAAAAACAGAACACCCTCGTAACTGTTTATATATGGTATGCACATGTACATATAATTAATCTATAAGTAATTTATCCAATATGTACATGCAAAAAATAGCTTCAATTACCTGTATTGTATGCACATGTGTATGGTTATCAGTGCTCCTATTTTTTCATTTTTTGGGTTTATTGAGGACGGTGAAGGAAAAACCACAAAAGAATGAAATTCATTTGGATGGTATGCATATGTGCATAATTACTTATTAACATATGTACATACTGTCCAGGTAACAGTTAACAAGTGCTACTCAGTTTTTTACCTTTTTTAGGTTTTCCCGAACCTCCATATATATTATATATATATATATATATATATATGTATGTATGTATATGTATGTATGTATATGTATGTATGTATATAGGGTTGGGTTCCGGTGGAATGAAAGTAAAAAAAAGATGAAAAACGTAAAAAAAGATCTTCATCCTTGAATGCATATTAGGATGAGATACCCCGGATTCATGGATGAATTTGAGATTAAAAGATCATCTAAGGGCCTTCTTATACTTTACACCTTAACTCTTCTCACTCACACGATCCTTCGCATATATATATAGGGTTGGGTTCATGTGAGACCAAAGATTTTTCGTGAGACCCTTAAGACCAATTTACCAATTTATAAGCTAATGATCTAATGGTCTAAAGTTGCACGATGGCAATTTTGTGATTATTGAGAAGTCTCGTGGTAATTTTGTGATTATGAATGTTCAGATTGTAGATCTAATCCAAAGGTTGAGAATTGGTTTTACGGGTCTCACGAAAAACCATTTGTCTCACATGATCCCAGGTATATATATATATATATATATATATATATATATATTCTGCATGTTTCACTGGCAAATTAGTGGTTTACGTGTCAAGAATGATAACAAGCAAACAAATTGATAATTGTTTATAGGAAAAAGATGTACTTTGTAATCTTTTTTATATCCAATGCAAGATCTTCTACTTTATATTAGTATATAAAATTCAAAAACTTTAGGGTAAAAGAGCTTAATACACATCAAAATCTTGTAAAGAATTCAATAAAACTTTAACCTTTTTTAGAGTTGTAGCTTAACCAATGTCTTATAAATCACTTTTCATATATAAATCCCAGAATCTTGGTCTAAAATTCCCGAAAAATAAGCCTTTTATGATTACATCGGAAATAATCTGGCAAAAGGGTATTCTGTAATGTAGTGGGTACTCGTTGCTGCGGAACCCGCATCACAATAAAGGTCTGGCGTTCACCGAAAAGGAGAGGGATGCTCATTACATTCGTGGTCTTCTTCCACCGGTTGTTGTTAATCAGAATCTTCAGGTTTGCGGGCTTTTTCGTCTTTGAACTTAATTTAGTCGTACTCGAAGAACATATTATATATAAATAGTTAATGTGGTCGATAAGCAGGTTAAAAAGATGATGAATAATATCCGTCAATATGACGTACCGCTGCATAAGTACCAGGCCATGATGGATCTTCAGGTAACCATTTAAGTATTCAGTGTTATTCACATATGCATACTATTTTATTGTTATGTTACCATTTAAGTATTCATTGCTATTCACAAATGCATGCTATTTCGTTGTTATGAATTCTGATCATAAAGTATGCAATCTTTCGCTCTTTTATGGGCTTTTTGCATCTTTTATGTCTTCATTTCTTAATTTTTGGGCATAATCGGGTTTATAGGAGAGAAATGAGAGGTTGTTTTACAAACTGCTTATTGATAACGTTGAGGAGCTTCTTCCGATTGTCTACACTCCAACGGTTGGTGAAGCGTGCCAAAAGTATGGGAGTATTTTCAAGCAGCCGCAGGGTCTTTTTATTAGTTTAAAAGACAAGTAAGTTTCCGTCACAATGCTGCATTTGTTTCTTTACGTGCAAAGGTCTATTTATCAACTAATAACGTTTTCGTAGAGGGAGGATTCTCGAGATACTTAAGAATTGGCCGGAGAAAAAGATTCAAGTTATTGTGGTCACAGATGGCGAACGAATCTTGGGACTTGGAGACCTTGGCTGCCAGGTACGAGTTTTGTTCATAATGACCGAACAACTTATCTTTTTTATAAAAAAGAACTCGCGTTTTCTTGGTTTTTGAAAGTTAACGTTGTTGGTTATTCACAGGGGATGGGGATACCCGTGGGAAAGTTATCTCTTTATACCGCTCTTGGAGGTATTCGTCCTTCAGCTGTAAGTATTCACGAGATCATATTACGGTTATGTTTCCTGTAACGATATGCATAACGAATCCCATCTCTTAAATTTTGTAACTTGAATAACGAACCTAGCTAGAAATACTTCCACTAAATTTAGAGTCTGATATACGCATTCGCAGCATTTTCTGCGTGATTTTGGGAATGGGACTTATCCAACGGTTATCACATGAAATCAAACTAGAAAATGGCTTTCCTTTTTACAGATTCCGTTATGCTGGTTTCGTTTGTGTCTTTTTTCTTGGTGAAAGCAGTGTTACAAAATTACGAAATCTTGTAAATATATGCAGTGCTTACCCGTAACCATTGATGTGGGCACAAACAACGAGAAGCTGCTGAATGATGAGTTCTACATTGGTCTGAGGCAAAGGAGAGCAACTGGGCAGGTAGGGGTGTTCATCTAAACCGCACAAACCGCCTGCACCAAAAAGCACGGTTTAGAACTTCCGCAGTGCGGTTTATGGTTTGCATTTTTACCAAACCGCACTATACTGGTTTTTTGCGGTTTGGGAAAATCCTCAAACCGCATACTCGGTGCGGCTTGCGGTTTTTCCCCAAACTGCACCAGGAACGCAGGTTCTGATTGCAGATTCTCGGGCTTACCTTTATTACGTCAAGATTATTGATTACCGAGACAAACTGTACTTCTATTTGCTAGGAATATGCTGAACTTATGAACGAGTTTATGTCTGCTGTCAAGCAGAACTACGGTGAGAAGGTGCTTATTCAGGTAAGTAGCTTTTTGCTTGCTTACAAATTGATTTTACGAAAGGATGATTCATATGAGTCTTTGATCTTAACTGTGCAGTTTGAGGATTTTGCTAACCACAATGCCTTTGATCTTCTTGCAAAATACAGTGCCACCCACCTAGTTTTTAACGATGATATACAGGTATATAATGGAGTATTAACCTTTTGAATTTGTCGATGGTTTGTTTTTCTTAACGGGTCCTTTCTGGTTGAGGTTTTTGGGCACCCGAGATGAATTTGTGATTACGGTTTTGTTACTTTGTTTTAGGGGACAGCATCCGTGGTACTTGCAGGGCTTATATCTGCACTAAAATTAGTCGGTGGATCTTTAGCTGACCAACGGTTTCTATTCCTTGGAGCTGGAGAGGTATTATATTTTCCCGTTTTAGCATATATTTGAGCAAAAAGGTTGATTACCGACGGACCCATGGCCCCACATGCGACCCTTCTCGTAGGAACCATATGTGAGGAGCCATTTCAGAGCTGAGGTTAGCGGACAGGGTTCAAGCCCATCTCCTGTGGATTTGAACTTGAACCTGTTTTGTATTTGAGCAAAGTCGCTTCAGCTGGGCTACGTGCCCACGGGGCCATTTTGTCGTCTTGTTTACATCTCAAATTGAGAATCTTCGTGCAGGCTGGCACGGGCATTGCTGAACTCATAGCACTCGAAATATCAAAACAGGTCAGAGACTTATATTTACATCTTAATTCTTAAGCACTGCCCACACATACCGACACCAAAAAATATTAACGAAGAGAGATCAAGTTATAGATTTCTCGTGTAATCATGCAGACTCGAGCACCACTAGAAGAGAGTCGGAAGAAGGTTTGGCTTGTAGACTCTAAGGTATAAAAACATGAAAATGATCATAAGTTACCACTGCATTTTCACCTTTCACTACAACAAAATTGATTTTATAAGACGCCTAAAATGTACAAGCGTTCTAAAAAATACTTTATAGGACCAAACCAAAAAGCGTCATATCTGAAAGTGTTACAATAGGTTTATAGGGCGTTTATAAGCGTTTTAACAAATTTTTATAACCCTTTTAAAATAAAGTGTCATATTAACTATTTTATACGACATTGTTTGAAAAGATGTCATAAAAAAAGATGAGTCTATAGGACACATCATAAAAGTGTCCTATAGAGTAGCTAATAAGACACTTTATTTTTAAAAGCATCCTAAAAAACTTGTTAAAACGCCTAAAAACGCTTTATAGTTCGGTCATATAAACTAAGTTCTATGAAGTATTCTATTAAGACGCTTAGACAATCCATGCGTCCTGTAAAACCAATTTTGTTGTAGTGTTTTATCCGTGCTGTTCTTTTACCAAAATGGTATTGCTGTAGGGGTTGATCGTTAGATCCCGCTTAGATTCACTTCAACATTTCAAGAAACCTTGGTCCCACGAACACGAACCCGTTAAAGAACTCCTGGATGCCGTCAAGGTTTAAATATCTCCCTCTTCATTGAACATTTTCGGGTGGATCTTTAAATTCTTCTTTCTTCGTTCTTTTTCAGGCAATCAAGCCAACCGTGTTGATTGGATCCTCAGGGGCAGGACAGACATTTACTAAAGAAGTCGTTGAAGCCATGTCATCTCTTAACAAGGTAATATATTCTATAAAGTTGTCGGAGGACGAATCTACCCTTGATAAGAAGTGAAAGCCTCGTAAATTTACGGTTTTGCAGAAACCTGTTATTCTTGCTCTTTCCAATCCAACTTCACAATCCGAATGTACTGCTGAGCAAGCTTATACTTGGAGTGAGGTATGATTTGCATTCTACCATTTCTTTTTTTAAACGGTTTTTTTTTGAAGCTGACAGTCAGACAAACTCTCCCGTGGCCCTTAGGGTGCGTTTGGTACACATGACAGAACAAAACATAGATCATTATTTCACGTTTGACAGGACTTTTATCCTATTCTAGTGCAGGTTCTTGCTCGGTATAAATCGACAAGCTTGACTTATAGCAAATTCCATAGAATTGGGCCGTCCGCCTATGTTGGAACTGTTCCACCCCTACCCCATGGAACAGAGTGGAACATACCTATATTTTACCATAAAACTTAATTCTCTTCTAAAATATCAAATATGCCTCCCTCTTTACATTTTATTCATTCTTTAAATTTTATTTATTGTATTTTATGTTTTTTAAACTTTCATTTTACTGTTCTTAAAATATTATTTTATATATGGTTTCTACATTTTAATTAACTTATGTAATTTATTAAATATTAGTAATTAAAAAATAATATAGAAAAGGTATAAAATAAAAATCGGAAACTACATGAACTTTTTATTTTGGTGTCATTTTAATCGTATTGACGAAAACTTTCTAGTGATATATTTTGTTATAAAAAAAATATTTATTTTATTATAATTTACCAAATTACATAAAATAATCAAAATATATAAACAACTCATTAGGGGTGAATTGGTCATTTTATCTGTTATGTCCTCTCCCGTTCCGTCTTAGCAAACGCTGAACAACAGTTTTGTTTTGTCTTGTCAGTCTGGATACCAAACGCCACCCTCAGACTCAAACTGGTGAACTTGGAGAGCAAACCCAAGTCCGTACTAGTTGGGCTGCCCGAAAGGGTTGGATTACCTTAACGTTGACTGTTCAATTTCTTCGGTTCTGGTTTTTTTGATTGCAGGGTCGTGCCATATTTGCCAGCGGGAGTCCGTTTGCTCCTGTTGAATACAATGGAAAAGTCTATGTATCTGGGCAGGTCTTGACCATTTTCTCGAACATTCAAACTATTATCTATCTTGAACATTCGTAATGAAATATTGCGGATTGTTATTTTTGCACCATTGATTGCAGTCAAACAACGCCTACATTTTCCCTGGATTCGGTCTCGGCTTGATAATTTCTGGCGCGATTCGTGTTCACGATGACATGCTTTTGGCAGCCTGTAAGTTTTCAGAATACAAAAACTCTAGTTCGACCATAACTGATCTGAAAGTGGACGTTCTTTTGATAGGATTCTCATTTCTTGTTTCAAAAATGGGCTTTATAGGACGTTAAGGGGCTGTTTGGTTGGTTATTTATTAAGTCGTGTATGGATAAAGTTGTCTGTGTGGATTAGTCTGTTGTATAGATTGAGAATTTTTTTGTTTGGGAGGGTTAAAAAACGTGGTTTTTAATTGGGAGGGGCAAGTCTGGAGAAAACTCATAAAGCCCCCCCTAGAAGCTTCTTGAATAAGCCACTATCGATATCATTAAGCCCTACCAAACAGTCATTTATAGATGACTGAATAAGCTACGAGTCTCATTAAGCTAATAGACTATTTCATAGTAAAGGTGTTACATAAGTTGATAGGATGTTTTCAGGCGTTCTAACAAGTTTTTTAGGCACTTTTAAAATAAAACGTCATATTAGTCGTCAGAAATGACACAAAAAAACTAACTGAATAGTGAATGCTTTATTTTAAAAGTGTTCTAAAAAAACTTGTTTGAACACACAAAAACATCTTATCAATTTATTGTAACACCTCGTGTATGAACTTAACAGTCTTGTAAAGCAGTTTAGAAATATCTGATGTCTTAATAAGCCCGATTGTGTTGCAATGCTTAGTTTCTTTCTTGTTAAAAATCCCACGGTGTCTGATGTTTGTTTTGAACAGCGGAGGCATTGGCTGAGCAAGTTAAGCAAGAGCATTTTGACGATGGCTTAATATATCCACCCTTCACTAATATTCGAAAGATTTCCGCTCACATTGCGGCCAAGGTAGCAGCCAAAGCATATGAACTCGGTGAGACCACCCTCGAACCCACATAATCTTTTCCTTCATCTTTGCTCTAGCGGTTTGTGAGTCTTTGGCCTCCTAGGCGATTGAGATCTACCGGTAACCTAGATACTGTTATGCTATTGACTGTTTGGCAATATAATCTTTTTCTTTGTGCCAAAGAAAATTGCTCTAAACCACAAGGGTGGTGCCTGATTGGTTTGAGCTTTGCTCCAAAGGTCAAAAGTATCAGGAGATCCCATCTAAATCCAAGGAGGAATAAAAATCCCTTTGTGGTCACGGAGGTTCAAATGCGGTGATTTCGAGTTGTCTGCAAAGCAGATGGTCGCCCTAGGATTAGTCAGCTCGCATAGCGGGTTGGATATCCAGGTTAATAAAAAAAAATATTGCTCTAAATGCAAATTTTGTTTTTCCGGGCGTGTAGGTCTGGCGAGCCGGCTTCCTCAACCGGAAAACTTAGTGGCGTATGCCGAAAGCTGCATGTACAGCCCGAGTTATCGAAACTACCGCTAGATTTTGACGAAAAATCGATGCTCTTTCAGTCGTACTAAAGAGCTTTTTTTTGTTGTATGTTATGTACGGACAATCTTTATTTCGAGTTATTGCTGAATGATAAACTTTTGTAGCCTGTAGGGATGGTTTAATACGAACTAAACAAATTTAGTTTATTAATTCGAGGATATCTTGGTCATTTAGTATTATTTTTTATATAAAAATATGAACTAGAAGCGTACCCGCGCAATGCAGCGAGATACATCATGATTTTAATATTTCATTTTATTCTTTATCTCAGTAGATGTTATAATATGGCTTTATGTGATTTTGAGAAAAGTGATGATGTTTTTATTTTTGAATAAAATATATGTTTGAAGATATCATAAAATATTGACAAAAATATATCGATATTAGTATCAAATTAATTATTTGAAATTACTCATTTTTTGTGTAATTTTTTAATTCAAATTTTTTATAATTTAATTTATGTACAATAACGAAGTAATTTATATTTGGTTTAGATAATAATTATTTATTTTGTTGGAACTCGATAATTATTCTAATTATATTTTAGATTTTTTATATTATAAAATGAGATGTTCATTCTCTATTTGATTATGTTTATCAACAATTATTTATACGAATTCAAACATCGAGCTTGTATAAGTTGTACTTATGCATAATTACTTGTAATATTGAATTTTAAGTAATATGCATCAATATACAGTACTTTATGCATAACAAAAATATATCGATATTCGTATCAAATTAACAGTTTAAAATTCCTCATTTTTTGTATAATTTTTTAATTCAATTTTTTATTATAATTTAATTTAT